AAAAAAATATAAAAAATACCAAGTGGACGGAGTTAATGGCTTAAACTGATGAAAGTATCAAAATTGTGCAATTATTAAAGTTAAGGGATTAAAAAAGTGTAAAAAATAATTTAAGGACCAAAAAAGTGTAAAAAATAATTTAAGGACCAAAAAAGTACAAAAAATAGTTTATGAACCAAAAAAGTAAATTCAATAAAGTTGAGGGATACAAAAGTGAAATTTAATGAAGTTGAGGGACAAAAAAGTGAAACTCAATGAAGTTGACAGACCAAAATTAGCATTTAACCAATTTTTTTCAAGTGGTGGGTGTGAAATGTGACGGAACATATAGAAGATTTGACGGAAGTTAGTTTTTCGTCCAATTGGGACCTTATTTGAGAATTTCATGGAGTTCGGGACCTTCATTGAGCACAATTGAAGTTTGGGTCCTTATATCATATTTTTGCCTTAATTAATTAATAAAAATTTATCTTCTCAATGCTTTGTGTGACCAAAATATACAGATAAATGCACAACTGCCCTTGACTAACTTTTAATGAGCTAGCTAGACATTAATATCTGTTGTTCGGATGAGAATTGAGTTCTACAACACAACTGAATTGAAAGCCAAGGTTCCTCCTTCATGGCTCAAATGAACAGAATACAGATGCATAAAAGAACCATATTTAGCATTTACCTTCTCTTATTTGTGTTGTTTTGCCTTGGTGGATTTATGTTTGAACGTTTTAAAGGTTCTACATCTTCTTTGGTTGTGTCGGGAGTAGTTCTAGTACTTTGGCCATAATTTTCACTATGTTCCTTCTATTAGCTTTGCTCATTAAATGTAGCATAGTTATTAACAAACATTTTTATAGTGCTGTTACAAAATTTGTGGCAATTTTAATGTTCTTAGGTACTAGTGATATTTTGGCTACCGTTCAACAAAAAACTTGTGATATTTTGGCTTTAATTTTTAGTCTGTTCCATCATTTGAGGAAGGGTGTTTGGAAGCGAAAAGAAAGTGAAATAGATGTTATTGACATTGATGTGTCCTTTGGTGATGAATTTGAGAATGGGTTGGGACCTAGGAAGTTTTCTTACAATGAATTGTCGAAAGCATTGAAGAATTTGGCCGATGAAGAGAAGCTTGGCGAGGGAGGATTTGGAACAATTTATAAACGTCTATTGAGGGATTCCAATACAAAATGTTACAATTAAAAGGGTTTGGAGGATGTTCAAACAAGGGATAAAAGGGTATGAATCAGAAGTAAAGACTATTAGCAGATTGAGGCATAGAAATTTGGTGAAGCTTATTGGATGGTGCCATGAAAAGGAACTCTTACTTGCTTAAGAGTTCATGCCTGGTGACAGCTTGGATTTCCATCAATTCAAAGGATGGTTACCATAGTATATTAGATACAAAATTGTGCAAGGCTTAGCATTAGCATTGTTGTATCTACACAAAAAAAGAGATTTTTGTGTACTGCATAGGGACATAAAAGCAAGTAACATTATATTAGATTCGGCTTTCAATGCAAAGCTTCAGATTTTGGGTTAGCTAGGTTGGTTGACCACGAAAAAGGGTCACAAACAACTCTTTTGGCTAGGACAATAGTCTACATGGCTCCTAAATGTCACACAACAGGTAAGGCAAGCAAGGAGTCAGATGTCTATAACTTTGGTGTTGTGGCACTTGAAGTTGCATGTGGCTGAAGGTCAATAGACTGCAGTTGTGATGAGCTTCTAGTGGCTTGGGTTTGGGAAGCACATGGGAATCAAATGCTTCTTGATGTAGCTGACAAGAAACCTCTACAGGTTTTAATGTGAAAGAGATGGAGTGTTTGTTGCTTGTTGGTTATGGTGTGTGCATCCTTCCCCCAATATGAGGTCGTCAATTAGGCAAGCAATCCAGGTGCTTAATTTTGTGGCAGCACTTCCAAATCTACCATGTAAGAGGCCTATTCCCAATTATGATATCTCTAGTACTTCAGTCATCGAAGAAAGTGAACCTAATTCATTGAGCATTACCATCCCTCGCTAATTTTCATATCAAACTTCATGTAAATTCATGTTGATTATAAACAAGTGTGTTAATTGTTCTAGAATAACATGTATGCCTTGCATTTCATTTTGAATCTTCAATTCTTATGGCATTTTTATGCTTGTAATCTATTCATTTGAACAATTAAAATTTTTGTTGATTAGTAACTGAGCCAGTTGAGGATTTGTGCTTCTTTTTGAGTTACTACCTAGATAACTAGTGGAAATGGTTGATGTAATTTCATTGAGAACCAACACCTCTTTCCTGTCCCCTCTAATAGATGTCCCAATGCTTAAGAGCTTAAGTCTTCATGATGAAGATCTCAAATTCAAATCTTTGGATTATTACCAACGAGGGGTTGGATCAAGTGGTAAGCGGCTTGTTCCAAGGTCTCGAGTTCGAAACCTTGTGAACGCAGCAGCCCTCGCTGGGAGAGTCACCCACCATTTCCAGGTGCGCGACGCGAATCGAGTCCGGATTAGTCGGGGTGAAGCCCCGGATACCGGACGGGAAACCGAAAAAATCTTTGGATTATTGAAAAGGGAAAAACCATCTTTTTTTGTATAGTCCATCATTTAATATATATATATATATATATATATATATATATATATATAACCCTCTCACCTGCAGGAATCAACACTATCATTTTAGGGGATGCCATTGAAATTTGTTTCCCTAGACCTTAGTTGTTAAACTAGCTTGTTTCTCTCAGATATACCAAAAAAGAAAAAAGCAATATCTTGTTGAATGTAGCAATTTTAGATGTTCCGATGGACAATTAATTAAGATTCAAATTCTAAGAAGATAGATGAACACTTATTCCTTTGGAAATTAGAGACTTGCCCTTCGATTCCAATTCTCAGTCAGGCTCATTTCACATTATGAGATTGCAATTGAAATAAATCGGAAAAGGTGGACTGAGTTGTAGCGAGTTTAAATGCATGGAGTAGATTGGAATAAATTGAGACATTTTTTATGGTAAAAGTCGTTGCATTAAGCATGTTGGGGCAACAGGGTTTAATTAAAGAAAAGCAGCCTTAATTACATGAATAAAAATCATTTTATCCTTTAATTAGAATATGTTCTAATTGATTTTTGGATTAAAAATCAAATGAGAAAAATTACATGTTATGATATTATAAATGTTAGGACTCCTTATATAATTATTCAAATATTCTTAATTAATCTATTTTTATATTAATTTATTAATAATATTTTATTAAACTAAACTCTTTATTTACATCTTAGACATTATTATTTCTCGCCATCAATACTCGTTAAAATTTTCATTCCCAATCAGTGCCTTTTATAATTTGAAATCATAAAAAACCTTAAATTAAAGTAAAAAGGGGTTCAATCTTGGTTTGAAGGTTAGGATTCTATGAGGATATGTCCAAACACCTCAAGTCATTTTTACTAATCCGAACTACAACTTAAGAGATCAAGGTCCTCATCTCGGTTTTCACTCCTGATTGCATGAAAAGCTTATGAAAGCTCATTTTATCTGATTCACACTTTTATAAAAATTACTTAAAGCATTATGTCATACTCTGAAAATCATTTTGAGTGAATCACATGGACCTTATCCTTTGTCTATAAATATCTTTGAAATGCTAGTCAAGGTACATTTTCAACTTATAGACTTTTCTTTATTTACTTTAATTGTAGAATAAACTATTACTAACTTAATCATCAAAATATCTACCCCAAAATCCACTCTCAAGTCTTTTCAGAGGTAGTCACTTTGGACGATGGGCTTCAACAAGAAAGACTTAGGAGCTAGTTCCATGAAATCAAAGATCGTCTAATATATAGATCAAGTTGGTTATTGTTGAATTAATGTAAAATTTTTATGAAACCATAAAAAAGTGTAGGAGAAAAAGAGGATCCTACGGATCTGTTAGATTAGGAGTAAACGATCTGTTAAATTAGGTGTAAATAAATGGCGGGTCGTTTAATCACCGTGTTGACTAGGTGCTCAAAATTTATAGACGTATTGATTGCGAGAAACTTATTTAAAAAAAATTCTAATCCATGCACTTTTGACTGGGAAAGAAAATTGTGTATTGATTGGGAGAAACTTATTTAGAAATTTTCCAATCAACGCGCTGTTGATTGGAAATAAAAACTACTACCGTAGTTAGGATTTAGGATAGAGGTAACTGGTAAGGTATATTTATTATATATTTTTTTATTAATT